TATATATATATATATATATATATATATATATATATATATATATATATATATATATATATCACACACACACACACACACACACACACATGTATGTATGTATGTATGTATGTATGTATGTATATATAATAAACAAAAACGTAAAATATAATGAATAATTGTTTACATGTATAAAAATAAAAACAGAAAGAAATCAGAAAAAAATGAAAACAGACATCAGTGGCTGTATACAGTATAGAACTGTATCATCTAACAAAAGTATTTCATTTTATTCTATTTTAGTAGAGTGTTTGTGTTGGGATATCTTATGCATTATTACATTTGCATATGTAAATTGTACTTAAATTTGCAGGATGTACTTAATTGATTAATTTTAATTTGTCATAAATGGACAAAACGTGAGTCTTTTCTATGATTTGAAAAACATATGCTATTGTAAAAATGTCCCTGAAACCAATTCCAGGCGGAAATATTGCCCTTTAAAGTCTTCTGACTCTGGCTGGGACTATAGAGACTATAGAGGTTAAAGAATCATGTGCTTTGATGTGGATGCCTCATATCAATATCTCTAAGAACCGCTGTCGACTCGGTGGTTCTCTGAGGTTAGTCAGATGCTGGGGAGAAGAATCAGTCTAAATGAACGCTCTGCATGCAAAATCAAACACCCTACATGAAGGAGCGTGGGTTCAAACCACACAACACTCAGTTCCCAAACAATGCCATACCAGAACCACTTTTGGTTCCCCAAAGAACCTTCCAGCGGACAGTTAAAAGAACCATTTTTCTTGATGCATCAAACATTTTAATGAAGATTTTCCACTATGAAGAGCCTCTTGTAGAATATGATGTTAAGACTTCTTTAGATGCCAATAAAACCTTTCTTTTTAAGAGTGAAGCATTGATTCGTGTACTTTCATTGTGTAACCTTGAGCAAGACAGCTCGCCTCATGTTCCTGAAGGGGAGCGAACATGCAATGTTGGCATAAATCATCAGCTGAACGACTGGTTTCACTTTTTTTGGTCAGATATGGGATGCATTGAATGGCATGTCGTGGCGCAGCGGGGTTTCAGGGGGCAGGGCGAAATCCAAGAGGAAAAGGCGGAACTCGGTTTGGATCAAAGCCAGAGAACTTCAGGAAACTTCCGCGGATACATTAACACCAAACAACGATACTTTACATCCCCCTGAGAGCTTTACATGTGCATTCGCGCTTAGCTTAGAGATGAGAGCAAAACCCCCGAAGCTCTTACCCGGACCAGGTTGCTGACAGCTGCCTGCACAGCGGCCACAGGAGCGGTGAGATCCGGGATGGCTTTCCCGTCCACCTCTCCCTCCTCATGCATGATGACCAGATGAGAGATCTGCTGGGCCACCGGCTCCAGGATACTCTCTATCGTCTTCGTGTGAAAAACCGGCATGATGAGCACTTAAGAGAACGCAAACTCTCTTTCCAGATGTGTATCCAGACTCCCCTCTCCGTATCCGAGCGCCGAGACTATCCCCCTCAAGAGCACACTGACTCTCCTTCATGCAACTAAACTAACTATCGTGGGAAGCGACTCGTCTAGCGAAAGAATCGTTCGTTGGAGTCGGTTCTTTCCAATTCGCAAAACGATTCTTTGGCGCATCGCGAGTCACGAGTCAACAACTCACTGAATTTGCCAACATGTTTGACATTTATTCACTAAAACTAAACTATTCTCTCTCTCTGTGTGTGTGTACCTGGTATTTATCACGTTATGGGGACCAAATGTCCCCACAAGGATAGTAATACTAGTAAATGTTGACCTTGTGGGGACATTTTTGAGGTCCCCATGAGGAAACAAGCTTATAAATCATACAGAATGAGTTTTTTTTGAGAAAGTAAAAATGCAGAAAGTCTCCTGTGAGGGGTAGGTTTAGGGGTAGGGTTGGTGTAGAGCAATATCGCATACAGTTTGTACAGTATAAAAACCATTACACCTATGGAATGTCTCCATAAAACATGGAAACACAACAAAGTGTGTGTGTGTGTGTGTGTTTTGTTACCAGTCATTTTAAATAGTAAATAATCCAACAGTAATAATATCTTTTTTTAATATCACTAGAAACTATTCATTAGATTCTAGAGTCAGATCAAATTTGTCAGCATTTACAATATTACGAAAGCACAGTAGGCTAGTTAAAGTATTAGGTTTACTATGAAAAGCTATAGGCCTACCATTCTAGCAGGCATACTTATTATATGTAACATTCTAGTACATTTAATATTTTTACATTTAGTCATTTAGCAGATGCTTTTATCCAAAGCGACTTACAAATGATGCTTATAGAAGCAATCAGAACTAACAAAAGAGCAACAATATGCAAGTGCTATGACAAGTCTCGGTTAGCCTAACACAGTACACGTAGCAATATATATATGTTTGTGTGAGTGAGTGAGTGTGTGTGTGTGTGTGTGAGAGAGAGAGAGTGTGTGTGTGTGTGTGTGTGTGTGTGTGTGTGAGAGAGAGAGAGAGAGTGTAGATATTTAGTAAATTTCCTACTGTAAAAATATAAAAACTTAATTTTTAACTTTAAAATTAAAGTTTAAATGTTAAGTTTTAAAATTAAGTTTTAATTTTAAACTTAAAATTAAAGCTTATTTATTCAGGTCTCAGATGATGTATACATTTCAATTTCAAAAAATGGACCCTTATGACTGGTTTTGTGCTCCATGGTCACATATAACAAAACGTAAATAGTAGCCTATTTAATTGTCTAGAATTTGATTCATTACATAGGCCACTAAACGCTTTGCTATTAATCGCTATGGCAGCTATTGTATTGTAACATCGACATACACATTTATTTAAAACCTGTTCAAACCTCTAGGAGTACGTGATGATGAATTCTTTCTTTGAACTGACTCGTTGAAATGAACCGTTCGAAGGAATCGATTCGCGGCTTCCCACATTACACTCAACCGAAACCTCCCCGATGACGCAACCTCTCCGTCCACCAACCAGAAGCAAGCACCGGAGCGCCCGTGAATGCGATTGGTTCGCGCAGACGTCATTCTTCCTGATTGGCTCCGCCCATAACCTTTGTAGCGTTATTCCCAAATTACGTAATACGTTCTCATGCCCTAAAAAGGAAGCTTGACTCTGCTGTTCTGGATGAGGAATTCTGAGAGCCAGGGGCCACCAAAGCGGGCTTCTAGGTCTGAATATTGCTCAGCACTGTTTAGGATCTGTTTGAGGCCTTGTGAGGATCTATTTTCATCTTTATTTTATACATACAATAATGAAACAATACAAGGTTACACTTTATTTCGATAGTCCACTTTAGACATTCTACTAACTATAAGTAACTTTGTAACTACATGTCAACTAATTCTCATTAATTTGCAACTACATGTCTACTAACTCTCAGAGTAGACTGTTAGGGTAGGTTTAGGGTTAGTAGAATAAGTTGACATATACTTGCAATGTTTCTGATAGTCAGTATGTTGTATGTTGTGGACCCATCAAAAGAAAGTGTTAGAAGATATTAAGCAGACAGTCTACTAATACTCTACTAACTGCTAGTTGACATGTAGTTGCAAAGTTACTTACTGTTAGTAGAATGTTGAAAGTGGACTATCGAAATAAAGTGTTACCCAATACAATAGAATTAATTAATTTACAATGTGTATGGTTTCATAAGCCAAAAAAAATAATACATAGGCCTATTTATTCACTGATGAATCTGATAAAAACAGTGTAAAATATAACTATAATTATAAAATTATGTAGATTTTTTGCTATATATATTCTTTATATTTTTGTTTGTCATGGCATTAACAGTTGTACTGGGACAGCTACTGCTTTAAAGTTTTAACATGAATTAAACACATTAATGCATATGACAAATTATAGGTGGATGAAAACAAATGTATCTTTATTTAATTGTTGTTTGTTTTGTTCATGTTGCACATTCCAGATTCATAATCATAAGAGCAGGTTGCAGCCTTCATCTGATCACCGAAATAACAATAACAGGATCTCAAGCTGTTTCAACCCATCAGATGCCTCAGACAGCCCAAGAATTTGCCCAGAGACCCTCAACAGGCTGCATGACCGAATATGGAAGAGTCCGAAAAGAAAGAATTGGGGAAATCAGTTTAGAGAGCACAGAGTAAACCCACGCGTGTGTGTGTGTGTGTGTGTGTGTGTGTGAGAGAGAGAGTGTGTGTGTGTGTGTGTGAAAGAGATAGAGTGCGTGTGTGTGTGAAAGAGATAGTGTGTGTGTGTGTGTGAGAGAGAGAGAGTGTGTGTGTGTGTGTGAAAGAGATAGAGAGTGTGTGTGTGTGAAAGAGATAGAGTGTGTGTGTGTGTTTATGCTGCTCACCTCTGAGCAGCATAACAGATTCTGCTTTGATCTCACCTATAAAGTGACACTCATGAATGCAATGTTGTCAGATTGTTTCAGCAATATTACATAATATATTTGAACCAGTTTATTTATATTTTATTACTATGAAGCACTGTTTGGTTTAGATTATATGACAAAAAAATTTATACAGTACAGAAGCCCCTTGTGAAATTGGTCTTTCATTAAATCAAGTAAGTAATGCACCCCAAGTATTAAAAGAATAAATCCCATATGGAATTGGGTGAACTATTGCTTTAAAAACATTTTTTTTCCAAAATATTTTATTAGACCTGAAGTAATTGATGTGGCATGTTGACTATTTTTTTGCAGCAACCCAAGCAGTCAAATTCCTTGTAAGTGTAACTTTGCCAATAAAAACTTGGGTTGTCTCTGATCTCTATTTTTAGAGTTTATATCACACATTCTGTTATTTCCGTATTTTATACTAAATATTTTTAGCATTGGTCAGTAATGTCACGTGTCGTTAATGTATCATCTTTTCCAATATTGTTCATATACCACAATCCAGCAGTTACAGTTACCTTGAGCACACAAACTAGTGTTCATACTAATGTCATCTGCAGGATGAAGTATGAAGAGTGTGCGAGATGAAGAGTTGATGTTAGTATCGTACGAGTATGTACTTCAGTGTCTTTACATAGTCTGTCATCTAGTGGCTGAATAAGAAACTAGCGGCTAAAGATGTGTTCTCAGAAAAACAGCTAGGGTTACTATAAGATACAAAAGCTAAAATATATATCTTTGTTCCTTATTTACACCTAAATGGTACATGTTAGTACCTTAAAGATACATATTAGTGTCTTTTGAAAGGGTCCCCCGACCCAGTGTGACAGGGTTTTACCTTGAGAGTGTAAAATGAAATATTCTAGAATTATTACAGATACTGTATATACTGTAGAGTGGGGGAAATATTTATTTGATCCCCTGCTGATTTTGTAAGTTTGCCCACTTATAAAGAAATGAAGGGTCTGTGATGTTTATTTTAACGGATAGAGACAGAATACCAACCAAAAAATCCAGAAAAAACACATTATATAAAGGTTAGAAATTGATTTGCATTTCAGTGAGTGAAATAAGTATTTGATCCCCTACCACCCAGCAAGAATTCTGGCTCCCACAGACTGGTTATGTGCCCATGTGGAACACAGATTAGTCCTGCCACTTTAAGAAGTTACTCCTAATGTCAGATTGTTAGGCGTACAGGACACCTGTCCACACAATCTGTATCTTCCATTCCAACCTCTCCCACCACCATGGGCAAGACCAAAGAGCTGTCAAAGGATGTCAGAGACAAGATTGTAGATCTGCACAAGGCTGGAATGGGCTACAAGACCATCAGCAAGAAGCTTGGTGAGAAGGAGACAACTGTTGGTGCGATTATTCGGAAATGGAAGAAATACAAAACAACCATCAATCTGCCTCGGTCTGGAGCTCCGTGCAAGATCTCGCCTCATGGGGTAAGGATGATCATGAGAAAGGTGAGGGATCAGCCCCGAACTACACGGGAGGAGCTTGTTAATGATCTTAAGGCAGTTGGGACCACAGTCACCAAGCAAAGCATTGGTAACACACTACGCAGCAATGGACTGAAATCCTGCAGCAAGGTCCCCCAGCTCAAGAAGGCACATGCACAGGCCCGTTTAAAGTTTGCCAAAGAACATCTAAATGATTCAGAGAAGGCTTGGGAGAAAGTGATGTGGTCAGATGAGACCAAAATTTAGTTCTTTGGCATTAACTCGTATGTGTGCAAACCTGGTGACCGACTACAAAAAACCTCTTACCTCTGTGCTTGCCAACAAGGGTTTCTGCACCAAGCACTAAGTCATGTTTTGCTTGGGGATCAAATACTTATTTCACTCACTGAAATGCAAACCAATCTCTAACCTTTATATAATGTGTTATTTCTGGATTTTATGGTTGGTATTCTGTCTCTATACTTTAAAATAAACCTACCAGAAAAATTACAGACGCTTAATTTTTTGTAAGTGGGCAAACTTACAAAATCAGCAGGGGATCAAATAAATATTTCCCCCACTGTATATATAGCCTGTATATACTATACACACACTAATACAAACACTTATTGTACACAATATTTACTCAGAATGCGTACAGTTAAAAACAGTATTTGTTTATTGGCCTAATAATTGGCTTTTATCATTGACATAAATAGTTACACGACAATATAAAATGATACAACAATATAAAAACAGAAAATGGCACTGTACATTTCAATACCCATGCAAAACAATACTTTTATAAACATTTTTCACACAGAACGTCCTTTGAGCTGCTATTATATCTCTTGGCAACAGAATGGAATGTAAGAATGATGGACATATTAATGAGTAACTGAACAGAAATCAGTTTGAACACGACTCGCTCATGTTCTGTATGCTGGTCTCTCGAGGGCAGGTGAGCACCTGTTCTCAGCCGAGCGACGACAGGCCGGTTTTCTCCAGGATCCAGCGCTGGTAGTTGCTGACTTTGGCATAAACTCCAGGATGGAAGGGTCTGGAACATCCCTCTCCCCAGCTCACCACACCGAACAGAAACACACGCTCACGGACGCGACACACCAGCGGCCCGCCAGAGTCACCCTGAAACATCAACAGCATCAACCTGACAGGCTTTTCTTGCTTCTCAGAGATAAAATGTGCCAAAATTTTACATGTGGCCAGTTAAAAATCAGTGAATATAGGGAACAATGTACTGGGTTAAAGGAATTTTTTAGAATAGATTTTTTAGAATTGCACTGAATTGTGTTGTGTTCTAGGGTTAAATACTCATAAAATTATTGGATTACATCATGTCAAGTCCATTTTCCATTTTTTTTCTCCAGTGTGCCAATAAAAATGGAGTACTAAACCTAAAACTCTTCAAAAAATAAACTATCATTAAAGAAAATGTTTAACCCTTTAAAAAATATTGTTTTTCAGTGTTAAGAGGTCAAACTAAATATTATATATGTTGCACACATGCACGCGCGCACACACACACACACACACACACACATGCGGTCTGAAGTTTAAAACCCTGATTAGTGTGATCTAGTTTTTTTTTCTACAAAGAAACTTTTTATAAATGTTAAAAAAACTAAAACAATGATAGCTAAAATAATACAAAATAATCAATTTATTAAAAATACATAAATAAATAATAAATAGAAATCCTACATTAAAGGTTTTAATAACATAATGATATGCGAGAACAGGTAACAGGGCTGCAGATCCTAAGTAAATGTAAAACAATTTGTTATAAATTAAGTTGTCGATGAGTAGGGATGCCAAATTTCGGTTTTCTATCAGACCATGTAATATGCAGGACACAGATAAGATAATAATTACATTCAGTGAATTCAGAGCAAAAGTTTGTCCAAATTATGACTTTATTGTTTAATTTTAATTGTTGCAAATAGTCGACAAGGTCATGACCAATTTGGTGGGACAGGCTAAAAATCACAATTTTAAGGTGGCAGTACAGACATTTTTTACATTTATATATTAGATAATAGTTTACCCAACACATTTTCTCTGCAAAGACCATGGGATTTATGCCTTTACTGCTTTAGAAAACTAATTAGACACCAAATTGTATTCTATCTGTAAATGAATAAATGTACATTTGTACTCAATTTGCAGTGTCATGACATGCATTTTATATATTTAATATGCCAGCACATTTATATGGATGATTGTTGTTTATATAAGTAATTTATGGCTCACCTTACACGCGTCTACGCTCCAGTCAGGACTCGCGGCACACAGCATGTTATCTGTGATCTTGTTGCCGTAATATGCTTTACTCGAACATAAATCCTGTGACAGCATGCTGACCTTTGCTTCTCTGAGATACTGAGAGTAATACCATAACCCTACAACACACACACACACACACACACACACACGTGATGAATTAACCCTTCTTTAGTGCAAACAGAACAAACACAGTGAACACTCTCAGCTGATGTACCTTCTTGTTCTCTGCCGTATCCAGTGACCTCACAGGACGTCCCGTCACTAAGTGACTGATGCGCCTCAGGGATGCAAACCGTCTTGACTGAACTGGACTCTTTAGCACAGCAACTGTCAGGACTGTGAATCTTCAACAGCGCTGAACACACAGCAGTCAATCAGATGTTAATGACATTTTACTGCATTACACATCTCATAAAGCTAAACTCATAAAGCTACGTTGACTTTGCTGAAAAGACCAGAATATGTTGTGTCTCGGATTCTGAATGCTTCTTTACTAGCTTAACCAGCCAAAGTTTACAGGTCAGCCAGCTTCACCAGAACCAGCAGTCACAAAACCAGTCTGGACTAGCATAAACTGGTCTTTTCAGAAGGTTGATGCTCAGAAATGTGTTTGCATTTGCTCACTGAACAGAAAGTTATTTTCAAAGTGAATGAATGAGTTGTTTGGGGTTTAGTGAGCCAATATTACCGATGTCGTTGTTGTAGTTGCCGTCTGTGTTGTTGAAGTGTTCATGGATGAAGAGCTCAGAGACTCTGAACTCCTGCTCTCTCTGAACATCTGTCTCATTGATGGCGTTCTTCCCCAGAAATACTGACAGTTTATAGGGTCTAGTCTGAGCGCTGAAAACAAATGCATTGAAAAGCATTCCTTTGCCTTCACTCGCAAAAATTTATTGGGAACGAAAAAATTTGTGAGCGAATGCAAAAGCACTGATTTTTTCCCCCTCCCATCCCTTATTTTTCCAGCACCACATCTTTTGCGTTCCCCTGAGAAACACTTTTTCTCATAAACTAATTTTCTCTGTGGAAACTCTCGACTTTTTCGTTCCCTCGAAACTTTGCGCTCGCAAAGTTTCTCGGGGGTAAGGCAAAAGTCTTGCGAGGGAACGCAAAAATCACTGAAATATAATGTTTCTTCCCTTCTCATATTTTTCCCGCACCAGAACTTTTGCGTTAACGTTTTGCGTTAGCATGCAAAAGTTTGCAGGCAAAAAAATTCATTTGAAAAGTTCAAAGGAAAGCAAAAATTGTAAGCGCAAAAGTATACTACTGTAATATATACTTTCCCTCTAATTTCATATTATTATTATTTATTTGTTTGTTTATTAATTTATTTTAAGTAGTGATGGGCACTTTCAAAGCACTGCTTCATGAAACACTGGTTCGGAGCGCGTATCAAACTGCGAAAGTCACGTGGTTTCAGTAAACGAGGCTTCGTTTCGTCATAACTGTTTCGAAACTTTTCGAAATTTCAATGGTTTGCCGTTGGGGGGCGATCTTTGTAAACCCGTGAATCAGCGGTAGACCCCCAGCGGCGAACCATTGAACCAGCATCTATGGTTTTTACCTGATCTCGGATCAGTTTAATCAATTTGTAGACATTTTTAACGAGACATTTGTGTAATTAAAAGGATGAGTAGTAGTTAATAATCTCTTACTGCCATCTATATAGAGGCTGTCCATAAAACAAACAAAGCAAGCCCTGCAAATTAATATAAAATATTTTAAAATACACATTATGCATACACTACAAATTTAATTTTTATTTAAATATATATTCAATAATATTTAATCACTACATTTTATGCATTATACTTTTTAAAAAGTATAATTAAGGTTTTAAAAAAGCAATTTTGATGTATGTTTTAACGTGAGTTATTGTTGCATTTACACACTTTGACCAGCAGCAGCGTGTGGTGTTTTGAGCGCCTCGAAACGATTCGAAAATGTTCGTTTCCCCCGTCACTAAGTTTCACAGAGGAACGCAAAAGTTTCAACGAAAGCGTTGAAAAATTATTTGTCCTATCAACTTGCATTCAAACATTTGCCTTTGTTTGCAAAAACGCAATGTTTCTTGGGGGAATGCATTGACATGTCTGTACTTTCTTCTCATCTGTGCAGTTTGTTTTGTGCACTGACCCGTCAGGGAAGCAGTGTGCGGCCGTGAGGACCCAGCAGGGTGAGATGAGACTCCCGCCGCAGGTGAACGTTCTCCCGCATGAGCTCCTGCTGAACACCGCCGCCATCCAGGGGTGGCGCTCCACCGCGCTCAAAGCCCCGCCCACTACCTTCATGCTCCGCTCCTCCCTCTGGCCACACTGCCATCCTATTGGACAAAAAGACAGCTCAGCCTGTCAATCAACCAGCAGCAAACACAGACAGATGCTCCACAGATGCACACCTGATCTCACTTGACTGAGTGCCTGTCAGGACCTGCATCAAACCATTTCATATGCCAGATATTTACAGATATTTAGTAATATTACATTAATACCGTGAAAAGGACGGAATCATACCGTGATCTTTTGCACAGCGTGGAATATCACAGTCTTCTTTCACGATCCCAAACGCGGTCTGTACGTAACACCAGGGTCTGCGGCTGTAGTCTGGGTTTCTGTGAGTGATGGAGCATGTGTGCATGTTATGATGGATGTAGCTGACATGATAAGACTAAGAGAGATTAAAAAAACACACTGAAATGGCATTAAAGAATGGCACCTGAATGGCTCAGGTGCTGCAGGCTCAGACAGGTGTGCAAGGTGTGCTTGTGAATATATTTACAGGAGACCTTCACGTCTGGTCTTGAGAATAAGGGGGAATGAAATCCTGCCAAAAACATGTCTGGGTCAGATTTCACTCCAAAACGAAAAGAAAAATTTGCTTTGCACTGACCAAATTCTCACTATACTGTAATATAATGTGTAGTGTGCTGATATTTGTTGTACTCTTTTTAATTAATGTTATATAATAAAAATGTAATTTTATATTGATTTTAAAAGTATTGATTAACATAATCGTCCAAAAAGGTAATCTTTTTTTATTAAATAAAACAATTAGTCATTGTATTTACTTTAATACAAAATGCAAATAAATGTCATTTAATGACATAAATGACATTAAAATAATAACGCAATGAAAAAAAATCTTAATCATCTAAAAAGCTTAATTAATAATCATCTTTATGCAAAACTTTATAAAATAAAATTATAATAAAATTATAAAAAATTTACTGTAATAATTAAATATTGCATGTATTTATACATTAAATATATATATATTTTATTTACACTGCAAAGTAAGATATTTGTTATACTGTTTTTAAATGATACAGTTTTAATGTTAAATGTGTTTAATTTTCATTAAATATAGTCACAATGAAAAAATCTTAATGATAATAATAATTCCAAAAAGTGGATTAATAACAATCCTTATAATAAGGCTTAATTTTATGCAAAACATAAATTAAATGTAAAATATAAAATATAATTAAATGTAATATCAATGATTTCTTTTATCTCCAGGGTGAATTATGCCAAAGACATGTTCTTGACACCTTTCGTGAGATTCGCTCATAAACTGCGCTCCATGACATTACACCAGTTTTCTTCTTCTATTCATATCCACGCCTTCAGGACAAATGCATGTTGATTTAGTATTTTTTCAGTTCTTCAGCTAATCTACGGTCTCCAGGGAACTCCTAGTAACGGATTACCGGACAGGTCTGGACTGCAGGCTCTGTTCGCTCTCATTAGTGTGTGTTCAGTGTAACTCGCCTGCAGTGGTCGTGTCGTCCCGGGCCAAGATTCCTGGGATAGACTCTGATTTCACGAACACTCTCTGAATCCCATTCCAGACACTCCCGCCCACTCACGGATTTAGAGACGGGACCTCTGTAGTGCAGACCGATCCCCTCAAAGCAGGAGACGGACTCGTCTGCCACAAAACATCATAATGAATATGAATGCATGCAAACATATTTCGACGGTTGTTGTTTTAAAATTCATTATTTTAATTTGACATTTTTATGTTTTAATTATTTGCTTTTCATTAAACTCACAAAATTCATGTTTTTAATCACAATGAATAGAATATATTTTCTTTCTCTTTGTCAATATGGTACAAGATTTTCTTATTTCAGTCGATGTGATAAACAAGTTAGATCAAAAGTCATCTAAAAGTAGTCCGATTACATTACCTAAAATGTGTAATGTAATGGATTTTTCTCATGCAATTTGGAATCAGTATTTGCAAGTAATCTGCTGGAAAATAAAGACTGCAGGCAAAGTTGAAGTACCTGATTTCTCACGTAAACTGCTTGGAAAGAGTCTGCGCTGGGCTCTCTGGAGGTCAAAACAAACAAACAAACCAAAAAAAGGCATTTTTCCCCCTAAAATTAAATGCATTCTCCAAAAGTAAGTGAAAATATGCACTTAAGAAGCACACTTACACAGACTGTGAGAGCTGCTAAAGCTAGAATCAAACTCAGCAGGCCAAGCCAAGCCATTTCTGCTGCTTCTGCGGATCTTGAAACCTGAAAGAAGTACGTTTGATTAAGCCTTGAGTTGTGTTTGAAACCTGGGACGACTTCGGAGTTCAGGGTTACATTGACCTACTTTGGTTTCAATGTGATTTGCCAAAAATCAGTACTATGAAAAATATTAAGGATTTATGTGAAAGCAGAAAACCTCTAGCCTGTCACAGACTAAAAATATATGCGATAATTCCCTTTTGTTTCTATTGTGTTGGGGATCAATTTGACCCATGCTCAAAATTAGCTGCACAGACACGAAATATTACAAAAATGTTTGTTTCTTTCTACTTGTATAAGGTGAAAATAACAGCAAGTATAAACAGTATCTGACAATATTTATACTTCCTTTGCCTTTTTATTATGTCTTCTCCTCAAAACCTTGTGAGGATAAAATAGCTTTCTCACACTTCTTTTCAGTGCTGAAATATAAAAAATAAAAATAAAAATCAACCAAAACATTCTGACTTTTGTGTTCAGCCTTTCCATCTATGCGTTGAAATTTTGCACATTCATTAGCCTAAATGAGAAACTTTCAGAAAAGTTCAAGTGTAAATAAACAGAAAACTGAGTGCGTCACATTGACCCCGATACAACAGGAACGCACACTAAAGGCAAGGCTTTCTTTAAAAGTTCACAATCGAGCATCCATATATGACTGTAAAAGAACATGACTTTTCCTGGGATCAGACCAGGATCAGACAGAACAGGCCCGGAGAGGAGATTAAACATGTCAGATCCACACCCACACGGCCAGAAATATCACAGTGGAGATGCTCGTTATATATTTCCTAGACAGCATTGAAACTGAACGCATGAGATGTTTCTCCTATGAATAAGACTCCAGAATCTCACATGCATCTCTTCAAGAGCAAATGATCTGAAATACCCAACAGTTTCTCACGTGGTCTTTAAAATAGGGTTCCCACGATTTAAAATAATCAAATAACAAAAATGTAATAACATAAAATCTGGAATTAAGAAACTTAAAAATGTTGCCATGCTGGAGAACATTACTGTCACTGCTTGAACTCGTCTCATCTCAGTATGCATGTGCAGTCCACAGATTATCATCACTATGAATATTGTTCTGAAACATGCATACACTCTATTTTCATATTAACTCACCTGTGTGTTCAGTGAGGTCAGGTCTGGTGTGTGTGGTTCTGCATCCCACTGATGGTTTTAAACACTCCTCATAGAGGCTGGTTTGCTGTGATTGGCTGCAGGAGCAGACAGACTCGTGCTCGGGGAGTTTGCTGCTGAGCTGAAACTAGATCAGTGAATCACGATAATGATTCAAATTAACTTGAATTCCTTCATTCCCTCATCCTGGAATTCTCTTTCTGTCCAACACTATTTGAACCATTCTTTTATCTTATGTCTCCACATGATCAAAACTTTGCTGTTTCACACAATCTACTGCATGTCTTCTGTCGTCTGATTGATAGTTCATACATTTTTAATAAGTAAAAGCTCTTTTAGTGTAATTGTACAAACGTCCAGCTTCAGCTGGTGCTTCACATGTCTTTGCCATCAAATCTTGACGTATTTTTGTCAAGTATAACGTCAGTAATATCTCCAGATGAACACTTACTGCACTGAAGCAGCTCAGCTTTACTTGATTCTCCATCAATCATGTTTTAGAGTCTCAAATCTGATCCTCAGGATCTTCTGAGGAGTGTTTATTTCTTTATCTCTCAATCGGCATTGGATTGCATTGCATTACATATTTGGATCATCTCAATCTCATTTTACTAAGACATATTATTGGAGATATAGAGTGATGACTGATATTTAGATCATTTTATATCAGTATCTGCTCTACTGTTATAAAGATCTCATTGATTTACATCACAAGCATCAGAAATTCATCATATAAATATCAGCATCTGCACTAAATTATATATTTTTGCTCCGTTTGAGTCTGAATACAATTGAGCTGTTTTTTCCTCCATATCCTCACTATATCAGACTATACGAGCCAGAAAAACCTGATGGATCAAATATGATACTCAACAATATTTAGTCTATAAACTGTTCCATTTCAAAACATTAGATTTTTCAGACTATTATGTCATATGTCAGGGTTTAGACGAGGGTTAATCTCTGGCCAAAAACGATAATATATGACCCGTAATCATAGCCTGAAAGGGTTCATCTGAGTATGGGTCACTAAGCCTCAGTTCCGGGCAAAAGGGCATCTTCTCCAAAACACTGACACAAGTGGGCAAACAGCTGAATCAGTTTCACGCTTCCACATTCTGAAGCATCCAGCTGTGCAATGGCAACATGTGAGGCAAATTCAGCTTCCATGCCTTCATTTCCTTTGGATTTCAGACTAATTGATGACTAATTGCTGTAGGTGTTGGCCGATAGCTCATCATTTTGGGGAATGATATGATTCAGTGTATCTGACACATTGATTCAGCTTCTACCTTTATAGCGGCGTGAAGGCGTCTTCACAGACTCGGAGCTGAGTTTAGGTCACTGATTAAGGCTTCTGAAACCGTGAGGGTTAAAAATAGAGCTCCACACCCGACTGAACGAGCGGATCCAGAGCAGCGTGAATCATCTTCGATGGACTCAAAACCAACAGGATGCTGGTGCAACTATGACATACAGCTGAAGAGTTTTATCAGACAAAAAATTGTGTTTTTTGTCATTATTGGAGCATATTGATAGTTAATGTGTTTCTCGACAACTTTGAGGAGAACCGACTTCAAGCACCCACTAAAAATCACCAAAACACCGAGACAAATGAAGTTATTTCTACACAAAAAGAAGCTCTGATGTCAGAAACGGAGACCAGAACCGATGCAAAGACAGCATATGGACTCTGTATTTATTAAATAAAGTATATACAATTTTTAAATAAATTAATAATAATAAAACATTAAAATATATTATAATAATGGTAAATAATATAATAATAATAATACATTATTTTAATGGACACTATCTAATTATAAAAATAAAATATTAAATATTTTGAAACATCATAAAAATGAAATGTGTAATATACATAATATATTATACAATAAAGATGTATAAGAATGAAAATAATGATCTCTTTCTCTCTCTCTATATATTTATATATAATAAAATACAATATAAAAAATATTTGATTAAACTAAAATAGAATAAAATAATAAAATACAATTTTAAATAATTCAAACGTAATTACAGAAATTATAAAAACAAACATATATAAAATATAATATAACCTAAATTGATATAAGAATGAAAATAATTCATATTTATAATTATTACAAATAAAAAATAATGAAAGTTAATAATTTTATCATTATTATTCATTATCATTGTGCAACTTCTGATGTTTTTACTGCACATTACACCTGTGTTTGTAGTGTGTTTGAAACCGTCATGGTCTCATAAACGCAGCATAATTCAAGAAACTGAAGAATTGAGTGAATTCTATTTATTACTGCAGTTAACCCCCCGAAAACATATACATAAATACATTTATACAAAAAGCAAGCAAAAACGAACGAAGACGTTCCAGTTGTGTAGTGTGTTATGAAGCAGACTGTCTTACAGGAGAAAGCAGCATGTTTGTTGCCAAGGAAACCAGAGGCGTGGCCTAGGCTGAGGTGTCAAAGAGCTTGTCAATCATCTCCTCCACCTGCTCCGGTGAGTAGCGGTGGTACTTCTCTGGGTTTTTGGTGAATGAGATGTTCGCGCATCTGTAAGAGCATATAAACATGAGCTCAGTGCAGCTGTAGATCACACATCAGCTGTGTTCTGATTGGCTGGTAAGTGTGTGTGAAGGTCTCACCGCTGAAGGAAGGCTCTGTACGCCTCGGAAACCACTCTCTTCTCAGCCTGACGGATGGCGTCCCGCTGCTCTTTATCAGGAACCGCCCAGCCCTGCTGGATCTTGCACAGCTCCTCCAGACCCTCATTAAAACCCTGCAAACACACACAACATAAAGCCTGGTTTGCATGTGCTTTCTGTTGAGTATCATATTTGATGCATCAGGCTTTTCTGGCTCATTGATGATTGAGAGATGAAGAAATAAATGTTGCTCAATAGATCCTGATGATCATATTTGAGACTGATTTTTCCAAAAAACTATTGATGGGGAGTTAAGCAAAGCCGAGCTGCTTCAGTCCAGTAAGTTAAAGTGTTCCTCTCACCTTGAACTTGTCCTTGATGATCTGTCGTTCCTTGTCTTTGAGCTGCTCATGTGAAAACATTCAGAGAGCAGGATTAAACTGAGATCATTACATAATGATGAACCATTTTCAACAAAATACTGTAGCTGAACGCAGAAGCCTTCATGCATCACTGCATTCCTAACTGCATCAGAACGGCTGTATAATAAAACATTAACTGAGTATAACAACAAATATTAACAAAAAGAATAAAGTATATAAAAAAATAGTAAAAATAGCATATCAATGACACTACAATAAAACTGCATTTGTGTATTTGAGTAAATTATGTTTCTGGTCTAGTTATCGGTGTGTGTGTGTGTGTGTGTGTTTGTGTGTGTGTGATTGTGTATGTATGTGTGTGTGTGTGTGTGTGTGTGAGTGTGTGTGTGTGTGTGTATATGTACGTGTGTGTGTGTGTGTGTGTGTGTGTATATATGTATGTGTGTGTGTGTGTGTGTGTGTGTGTGTGTGTGTGTGTGTGTGTGTGTGTGTGTGTGTGTGTGAGTGATGATCTCACTTTGGTTCCAGGCTGGAATGCTGGGATGTTTCTCTCTGTAAGATGCTCTGTGACCTTCAGCCAGCTGTAGGTGAGTGGAGGTCAGAAGGTCATTCACTCATTCATTACAGGACGGTTCTTGTGTTTGGATGATGTGGTTTTACCTGCGCTGGTAATTCTGGATCTCCTGCTCGATGAGCTCTCTGTACGAACCCTCCACCTTCTTATGGGTCACAGCAACCAGCTGAATCAACTCCGACCTGAACAACACACAGGCAGCATTTTACCTCTCTGACTTATTTGAAGATAATCGAAATATTCAATAAGGAAAAAGAGTAGTTTTATCCATGCTGTCTTCTGATTGGCCAGCACTGAGTGTGTAGGTGTGCTCTGGTCTCTGATTGGTCAGTGAACTGAAGCTGTGTACAGTAACTGAATGAAGTCGGTATAAAGTGTGTGGATGCACTCACTTCTCCAGGGATTTGAGGATGTAGTTGTAGTTGTTGTGAAGGAAGACGGCGCGCAGGGCCGGATCTTCATACACTTTAGCTTTATTTGACAGATTCAGCTGCAGGTTACCGAGGACTTTATCTGCGAAACACAATATTAAACAGGTCAGACAGTAAAAAATGAAAAGAACCCAGTAAAAGCTTATATAAAATGCATGTTATGACCCTTTTAAAACAGCACACTCTTTAGTGTGTGTGTGTGTGTGTGTGTGTCTTACAGATGTATGTGCTCAGGAGTCTCCGGCTGAACTCTGAACTGTAGCTGCTGGCAGACGAGCTGCTCTCTGAAGACAAGAAGAGACACGTTTCAACAGCCGTTCATCTGTTTAACATACAATACATTCTCACTTCCTTCTGTCTGAGCCATTCTGACAACCTCTGAATATAATAAACTCATAAACGAGATGCTTCGATTAAATGACAGCTCCTGTACTATGCTACAATATCCTATAGATATTAGAGAGGATTGTTTGAGGATTGTTTCATATCCTGCAGCCTGCAGACGATGATATGAAGAGCTCAGAGCCGATAACATGACAGAATATTTGAATCAGCACAAGAAAAAGTTACACACACAAAAGTAAGTGATTCAGAGAGACAGTTCAAGGTCTGAAGTCAACATGAAATCACGCTGGCCCCGTTTACTTTCATAATAAATGTTCCTGGAGTTATTGTGAATGATTGAGTGCATCTCTTTTATCTATTTCACATTGTTTATGTTGGGTTGATTTCACTACATCTACATTTTAATATGATATAATATTACTAAATAATAATGTTAGCGAAAAAAATTAACCAATAATATCATAGCCTACCCTTTCCCACTGAATATCCAGTTTCACTCAAAAAAAACTTCACATTATATTTCAAATATATATTTTAAACAATATATTAAATTATTAAATAATTTAAGTTTATATTAATTGGAAAAAATAAATATTGTAAATAATTTATATTATCTAGAATTATTAATTGTAATAATTATGCAGTAGTAATGCATAAAACATCAAATTAAATAATATTAATAATAAAATTAGTTAAATTATATATATATATATATATATATACACATAAAATAGGATATTATTTAAAAATTAAATGTAATATCAAAATAAATTATATATATATATATACATACACAGTGTATATATACATTTTCTGGTCTAGTTATTGGTGTGTGTGTGTATAAAATTTAATAATTTTAATATAATTAATAATTAATAATATAATTCTTAATTATAGTAATTAATAATTTAATAATTCATAATATATCAAATGTATTTTGATATTACGTGAATTAAAAAAATATATATATTATATAATATTAATAATAATGATACAGTAATGCATAAAACAACAAATGAAATATTATTAAAATATTACAAATTAAATATGAACAATAATAAAATGTTATAAATGAATAAATACAATTCTGCACCTGGGGTCAAAACAGGAAAGCTGCGCATTATGCATCCATAATTTGAAGTATTTCAGAGTGAAACGTGTGTAAATGTTATTCTCAGTATAAGGTGCATCGACGAATCATTCGCGACACGTATGAAGACAGTAAATGGAGTCAGCTGTGGTTTCATGTTCTCTACTCGTCCGCTCGAGCGCTTACCTCGGGGGTCTAAAGGAATATTGTAAGTGTCCCCGAGTACTACAGGACAGAAGCGAAGCAGAACAGAGAGAGAAAGAGAACAAGAGAAGAAGGCAGAGGGCGAGAAGTTAAAATAGTTCTGTTAGTGAAGAGCTTCACCACTAAGAGCCAGCCAGGATGAGCGAGCAAGATCATGTGACAGGAGCAGAGATGAGTGGGCGGGGCTGAGAACACAGTGGGAGGAGCTTCAGAGGGTCATGCACTGCTGTGAACATGAGTATACAGAACACAAGAAGAATAAGAATAATGCTTTAAAATGAAATATATATATGTATATATATATATTAAAATTATATAAATGAATGAACATACAATACATAACTTTCTGATTTAATATTTAATTAATAATAGTAGAATTAATTAGTAATCATTTTAATTAATAATCAAATAAAATGAAATAATATTCATTATAATAAAATTATATAAATGAACATACAGAATATATAATATTACTTTCTGATCATTTTCACGGACCACTTTAACAACAACAGTAATAATAATAATGCTTTAAAATAAAATAATTAATAAAATAATATTAATTAGAATAAATGCATATAAATTAATAAATATACAGAACAATGAACATATTACCTTTATTATTAATTAAAATATTAAGACAATTTAGAATGAATTATTCATTTTAAATAATAATAATAATAATGCTTTAAAATGGAAAACATAATAAATTAAATATTAACTATAATACAATTACATAAATTAATGAATTTGCAGAATATAAAATTACTTTCTGATTTAATATTAATTAATAATATTTACATTAATTATTAATGATATAAAATAATAATAATATTGCTTTAAAAAGAAAAAAAAGGAATAATAATAATTATAATTATAATAAAAATTTAATTAAATGAAAATATGGAACATATACTCTTACTTTTTGATCATATGATCATAATGCAAGACTGCTTAGCATATCCAACTTCAAAAAATAATATCTGATCAATGGCCAGAAATGATACTTTGAGCAGTATATTGTTGTTTAGAGCCCCCTCTGCAGGATGGTGCGGGAAAAAACAACAGCAGAGAAACAGATTTGCTCTCAGCACACTGATCATGTTTGTCTCGAGAAACTTCAGGAAAACCAACGGAAAAGGAAATGCAGAGCACAGGAAACGTGAACAGATGACAAATAAGCAGACAGGAACGTTATGAACATGAATGTGATAAAAACAGACATCTCAGATGTCCAAGACAGTGCTTATATCTGCGTTTGAATGACTTTTGAAATCTTCAGTTCATTGCAGAATGAGAGATTTATAAATGCTATAAACGTGGTACATCTATTGGATCAGTCTGTTAGTGTCTGTTTTTCACTTGTGGCCATGACTGTGGTTCTGCGTTACCCTGAGAGGCCAGCATCGCTCCTGCTGTTTCCTGGAAGTCCAGCAGCTGCTGCAGGAACAGGATGGCCTGAGGAGAAACAACGATTATTATTGGCATTTTTCCTGTACAAAATGGGCAATGAAGCGATCTTACATTGCTTGTGAGCTCATGTACGGTTCCGTCTTTCGGCATGTTGTACTCTTTATCTGGATCATTCTGTCGGATTACAGAACATCACATGTCAGAACATAACAATAAACATTAATATAAAGCACAACGAGGAATGTCATTTATATTTTATAATATAATAAAATGTGTTGTATTCAAAATATAACAAAATGCATATATAAAACATTTCATTTTCAGTTATTATTACCATTATTATTATAAAATATTAACATTTATTAAAAATAACTCAATTAAAGAATATATACATACATATATATATATATATATATATGATTTTAAAAAGATAATTATTTATTATTATATAAATAAATTATCTAAAAATAGTTGCTTATTATTTAATTTAATCTAAATAAATAAAACGATTAAAAAATATTGTATTTAGAT